TTCAAGTTTTGGTTAATTACAAAAATAGACCTCTTATGATGGGACACTATGCAATAATAACTTGGTTACTTGTTCTTTTATAGAGATAATATTTCTGAATCTCAAGTCGATAGTGGTCTTGAACGAAACTGAGTTGAATTATATTCAATCTCATTCTAATTTGATTCAAATATTGATTTTGATATAAAATCATTGTGTTTTAACACTTACTGATATTTGAAAAAACCTGCAATTTGAAGGATTTTTCCCTAAGTAATAATTAATAAAAATTGTACGATACATATTTTTTATAAAAAATTCCCAAAATACCAAAGTTTGGTACATATCGAGTTCGATAAACTCAAACTAGAACCAGATCGATTGCCAGACCATCGATCCACGTACATCGAGTGAAAGGGCCATGATTGGCTGGAACATGACGAAGCAGATCGAGTTTTGAAAACTCGATCTAAGTAGATCGATGAGAGAAGGCTCGATCAGTGTGACGCGGATCGATGACATAGGAAGCGTTCCACCCTAGATCATGTCTTCGGAAATCGATCTGGTCCGTTCGATGGCCAATGCCGCGAATTAGTAGCTACGCGGATCGAGTGGGCGGAACTCGATCTACATGACCAGGATCGATTGCATCAGACACGCTCCTACGTTGATCGAGTATTCAAAACGCGATCTGGGTCGTTAAATCTCCCTTCCCTCGAACAACTGTTGACGCGGATCTACGTCACAAAACTCGATCCACTTTCTCCCACGGAACCTATAAATTCCCCACCCTTCATTCGAACTCACACCAGTCCATTCTTCTTCCTCTCTTCCTCTCACCACTCTTGAAGAAAAAAATATGCTCTGTGGTTACGGCTAAGTCGATCTTCCGCATCAATTTTTTTTCTTTTATTTGGTACTTCTATCACTCAAAATTGTCAAGATGGACCCGAGTATTTACGATCCTAGATTATAAATTCAAGGCGGACCGCGAGAAACCGATTTTTTGGATGAGCAACCTTACCATCGGTCTGAAAGTGTTTGGGCGGCAGACCTGGTAAGCATTTCCTCATGTACTTTTCTTTTTTTAAATGCGATAGTATTCTTTTAATTTTTTCGTATAATAATTAAGGTTTTTTTTACAGGAACAACTTGACGTAATCACCCATCAGTCGCTATCTCGCTTGCCTGCATTGGATGTTCGGATCAAGCCCTTCATTGAAAGAGCGAGATTGCTGAGGGTGCGAAACTTTGTGCGGATGGAGATGGACAACAACCTTCTTAGGTCAATGGTGGAAAGATGTAGAAAAGAAACACACACATTCCACCTCCTGGAGGGAGAGATGACGATTACGTTGAAGGACGTGGCCATGCTGACAGAGCTTCCAATCAATGGTGATGTCATAATAGTGAGTTCACAGAAACCATTGAATGGTTGGGGCCAATATATAAGCGAGCGTTTAGGCATCAACATCCCCGAGGAAGCACCACAAGGTCGTTGTATACCACCTCTACACAAGTCTATGCTATTGATCCCTTGGCTAGTGAGGACCGCTGGAGAGTTACCGGAGGATGCCACGGATGCTCAGATAGAGAGGTATGCTCGCATCTACCTGATTTGTTTGATTGGAGGATTTTTGTTTCCGAACAAGTCTGGTGGAAATATGCATTGTATGTGGCTCCGAGTTCTTTTGGAAGATTGAGACGAGATTAGGAGAAAAGGTTGGGGATCTTCTTGTTTGGAGATGATATATGCGGAGCTGTGCAAGTGACGGACGCGAAAACAAAGCAAGCGGGTGGTGCCATGTTCATCCTCCAACTATGGGTTTGGGAGCACCTTCCTACTTTCGCTCCGACCTGTCCTGCCAACAGTTGGGGTCCCGAAGAGCCACTACGACAAGCGGCTTATGGTGCTAGATGGATTGGAGCTATTACGAGAATCTCCTCTCTAGACGGGTACCACCAACATCTTGACCGTATAGAGTTGAACGAGGTAACATTCTAGCTTATGAAACTGAATTATTTTTATGAATATGAATGCTAATTTATTTGTTGAAATTATTTGAATGGATTTTAATTTATTTGCTGAAACTTAGGTGGAGTGGGATCCGTATCCGAATGGATCAAAGGAGTTGTACGAGTTGCGATACACGGAGGATCGTCGACTCTAATCGTGCAAGTTGCCTGTGATTGGCCACAACATTGTCGAGTGGCACCTCCCGAATAGATGTGCCCGGAAATATAATTGTGCGCAGCCGATTCCTCTTCCATCAACAGACGTACATAAGTCACTCCACAAGTACAACGAGGATCTGCGGGGTACAATTAGTGATTGGCCGCACCATAGATGGATTGGTATGTGGGAGTCTCGCCATACGTTTTCAATTGATGGCATCCCAATGACGAGGCCAATGGGGGTACCATGATGAATACATGTTTTGGTACCGCAAGTTCACAAAAAGATGGATAACCAAACGTGGTGTCGTGATCCGTTCGTTGGTCAGCACACCATCTATTTTCTATACTTACTTTAGCTACACAAAGAGTGTTTGACTAACGTGTTTATTATTTAGGTTGATGGGTTGGAACTTGCGTCAATGACTATGGAGAGTGAACCATGACAAAATTTGGGGCCTGAGAAATTTTCATTCTTGAAGAAGCTCTTCAAGAATCTCCTATCATGTTCGCGGGAAATTCGAAGGGATGTCATTGCATATCCACCTGCATCTGCATCGCCACGTCCTTCCTCTCATGCCATTGAAGTTGAATCCCTCCCGCCATCACCACCAAAGAGAAGTACACGTCGACTAGAGCCAGTTACAGTCCCTGTGCAATTACGAGAAGATGTGGCACTTCCTGACCCATACGAGTTTGGATAACCCCCCCCCCCCCCCCTACGCGTGTTAGAAGAGAATCCGGAGAGGGATCATCAGCTTCGGCTCGAGGAGGGGGAGGAGGAGCCAACTATGCTCCCCCGTATTATGGGTATCCCAATGTCGACCCTCAATTCCAAACCCTGCAACAAAGCTTCCAGCCTCCGATGGGCCATGTCTACTATTCTCCTCCAGCCGCTGCAACCCCACGTCCACTGCCACGAAATACTAGAATTGGATATAGAGTTCGTTCAAGGAATAGACGTCAAAGAAAGGGACGCGGACGTTGTGCACAAGAGTGAGCAGTGTGATTTCTAGAGTTGTGATATTATCGAGTTGCTATTTTCTAGATATTTCTGTATGTTCGGGTTGTTCTATTTTATAGAGATGTTAAGTTGCTCTAATTATATAGAGTTTGTTCATATGTTCGAGTTGTTCTATTGTCAATTACATTAGTTTCCTTAATATCTAGTCCTCAAATTACAATATAAAGTCCTCAAATTACAGGGATTTTTCCAGAAATAGCACCATTCCAAATTTTTTTTACAAAAATAGCACCCCACCCACACAAATTCCAAAACTAGCACCTTGTTTTCAAAAATGCATCTTGGCCGTGCGGTTTACATGTAAATCGCATCCTAAGGGAGCGGTTTGAGTTTCTGGGACAAAACGGCATCTTGGCCATTTGGTTATTATTCTGACCTAACATAACCGTATCTTGGCCAGGCGGTTCTTAGGATGACCTAGAAGAACCACTTGTTGTGGCTGCAGTTTTGTTTCTCCAACACAAACCGCATACTCAAGGGGCGGTTTTGCCATTGCCGACACACAAACCGCACCCCCCTTGCGGTTTAAGTGTCGTCCCCATGTTCCCTTCGACTAAACAAATTCACCTTATGCCATTTTTTCCTTTCCGACCATGATTTCATGTAATCCATAATCTTCATTAGGATGTACATTCGAGCATTCAGCATCTGATATGTTGCTTGGTAGCGTTCAACGAACCATGTAACTGTATGTAAGAAGGTATGCAAGACTATAGATGATATAGGCATTGCACGAAGACCAACGTACAAACCATTGAGACACTCACTCATGTTCGTTGTTGTTATGCCATACCTATACCCTTCGTCTTGATGTAACGTCCACCTCTCAAAAGGATGAGTTTCTAGCCAATCTACACCATCAGGGTGGACCTCCCTTATTTTCTTCATTTTGTCTACAAGCTTTTGAGTATAAAAAGAAATAGCTACAATAAAGAAAAATAGGGTTAGTAAAGGAGCAGAAGCATTCAACCAATTGAGTTAATGAAACATCTTATTTGTTCTTACCAGCGTGCCAAACTGCACGTTGTCCAAAAGTGTGACTAAAGTGCTTCCCATAATTGCTTTTGAAATGTCGTATGCACCAGCGCCACTTCCACCCTAGCTCCTCGGGCAAGTCGTACATTGCATGTGCAATTCCATGGTGTCGATCAGAAAGTATGGCAATGTCCTTCCGTTGAGTGACACGAGTGTATAGTTGGGAATAAAACCATGCCCAACTTAAGTTGTTATCCGAATCAAATATAGCAAAAGCAATTAGGAAAAGTTGCATACTGCCATCAACACTAGTGGCAACGAGTAGAGTGCCCTTGTATTTGCCGGTCAGAAAGGTGCCATCAACTTGGATTATTGGTAGACAATGGGTGAAACAATCAATGCATGGTTTGAATGTCCAAAATAGTCGATTAAAAACGTTTTTAGCATCCCCTCCAAACTATTCGTAACTAGGCACAAAAACATACTCAGGATTCTTGTCCACCATTGCAAGAATCAAACAAGGCAGGTTAGCAAATGACTCTTCCCAATCGCCATACACCTCTGCCATAGCTTTTTTCTTTCCATGCCATGCTTTCTTGTAACTGATGGTATAACTAAGTCGATTCTTCACTTCAGCGATGACACTCTTCACGGTGATCTCAGATTGTGCCTCAATCAGATGCTTGATTGTTTGTGCAACCTTCCTTGCACTCAATTGTCGATGATCTAGAGAAATCAGTGACAACCTATAAGTGTGGTTATTGTCTGTCTTATGAATGAGCCAAGCCCTATTTCTTTTAGCATATGCCGCCCGAACATGCCACATGCATCTATCGCCATGGTTCTCGCAACGAACATGAATTTGTTTAGTGTCGGAAGTGATGACACGATATTGAAAGCTTCTTCGCATAGCAGTTTCTTTAAATGCATCAACCACCTGAGGCTTTCCTCCAAATGTTTGACCAACCACGAACCCAAAATCAGGATTCCATATAGGTATAGGAGGTAGGTAAAGATCGTCGTTGTGAGCATAGAGAGGATGTGTGTACCATCGTGTAGTGAGGTGTTGGGGGCTCAAATTCCCCCTCATCAACTTCCACATCTTCACCATCTAAACTACTCGCTGATTCTAAATCTTCATCTTCCACGTCGCTTGTCTCGCTAGTGTACGGAGGACTTGGTTTATCCACATATGGATCATTGTTGATGCCAGATGCTGGTCTGGGTGCCTGTCTGGGTGCCCTTATGCAATCTCATTCTTCACCCCATACTGGCCATTCCTGTCCATCATGTTCCGCGAATGGACCAGGTGCAGTTCGATCCTCATATCTTGGCCATGGTACATCATGCAGAACTCTAAAATCTCCTGAACCGGAAATCCCTCCCGATCCTTCACCTTGTTTGGTATAACCGCCACCACCATATTGGCCAACAACTTCTGTATCGACATACACCTCAGCAAATGGAAATATGTTTTCTGCAATAAATCTCACCATCATATTAATGTCATCATCGTCAGACAGAACTGATCCTTCATATACAAATGCATAATTCTTGTAAACCGGCATACGGTAAGTCATCTTGCATACTCTTCACCCCCCTATGCAACATCGTTCTGCACAAATGTGGTTGAGTTCTTGCCAAGTAAATACGCTCTCAATCCGGACAGTACTTGATTCATCATCTTCGTAGTCAATACTATTCTGAAAATGTGTAATTCGACCATTCCACCGAATCAATAGGTCAAATTTTTGAAAATTTCTACCCATTTATGCAGTTCATAGAAGCAGCCCATTTCATACAGTTCAAACAATACTAAATTAATCCAAAATTCTAATGTTCATTAATTCAACAACATAAGCAGAAATTACCTCCAAAATTTTTCTTCTTTACTTAGCTATGGTGCTCCAGCTGCTGCAGTCTGTGTTTGGACGAAAGAAGATTAAACAGTGGTTCGAGGCCAGGGCAACCGAACTAGTGTTGTTCGAGTCCTAAACCATCGATCTATTGCAGATGCGGATCGAGTCTTCTAAAGTTGTTTGTGATGAGCGACTTCTTTGGCATCGATCTACTGGATCGAGTCCTCAAAAGTCTATCTGTTTTGATCGAGTCCTTTGTCATCGAACTGTGTTGATCGAGTCCTCCAAAATTGATCTACATTGATCGAGTTTTGCACACTCGATCCGCTTTTAGTTCGAGTTCTTGAGAGTCGATCCAGTGTGTTGTTTGAGTTTTAAGGACTCGAACCCTTTGAAACTTTGGTAATTTGGGAAAATTTTTAAAAATCTTATGTATTCTGGGAATTAACTTTAATTAATGTTGTATTTAGAGCATGGTCCATGAAATCGTACCGTACCGGCGGTTCAATCACGAAATACCAGTATCGGAGACTAAACCAATAGGCGGAATTTAACGGTTAAACTAGGGTTAAACCACGGTTTTATTATAAAATATCATAATGCTAACTTTTACGGTACGATATTTGGTACGGTTTCATAGACCATAATTTAGGGAAATCACCCCAATTTGAAGAGACTCACCTAAGGGTAAGATTTTGCAGACAAATCAATAGTGGGATGCAGGGGAAACAGAGAACGTCTGAGAATCATATTTATATTTCATAGTAAAACCTAGCTTTAATTTCATGGTGTGTTTGTCCTTAAATCCATTTGCCACATATTATTTCCTTCGAAACTCATTACTTTTTCTTTTGGTGGGAACAAATTTTCTTTTTTTTTTTTTTTTTTTTTGCGGGAATTTGAAACTCATTGCTGATGCAGCCCATCAGAGAAACCTCTTACGTTTATTAGCACACGAACACGCAATTAAAATTACTAAAACCATGATTTAATTGTGCATATATAGTAAAAGAGCATCAATAAGGGACACTCAAGTTTTATGTGCTATTCCCGATTGATTAATCCAGATCATCAAATGTGAGATAGACCTCTTTTATACTATGCTATTATTGGTTGATTAACTTGTTTCAGTGACCGACTGAAAACAACTAGTCAAGAATCTTGAGGTTACAGATTCGAATCTCTTAAATAGTACCTTAATCACAACAAATTAAAACCTATATTATCAACCTTAAAAAAAAAACTTGAGGTTCCGGACCTTCGATAAGCCTCATCGTTCGGTGGTAGCCTGGGTCCAGCTACCAGAACTACCAATCCATTTCTACCACAAGGAGGTACTCTTCGCCATGGGGAACTTGCAGGGAAGAACAATCAAGCTCGATTACCACACCGAACATCTTGAACGCGGCAAGTTTGCAAGAATAGTGGTAGAACTCGACATGACGAAACCACTCAAAACCAGGATCCGGCTGGACGGATGTTGGCAACAGGTGGTGTACGAGAATCTTCCAGAAATATGCTTTGAGTGTGGCCGTATCGGTTACTCGGAGTCCACATGTCCCACGCTCCACCAAGCGCCGGTAACACAACTTTCGTCGTTTTCAGCATGACAGTTGTTGGCGCCGGAAAATTCATCGGTGGAACCGCCAGCGTGATACGGCCCTTGGATGCAAGTGGTGCGCAAATCGCGGAATCCAACCAGGAAAGCCTCCGTCAATCAAGCCAATTCAACGGGCAAGGGAGTCAGATTAGGAAAGACAACAACGAAGTCACCACCGAATCAAAAGAATGAGAAAGGAAGCTTAACGAAATCAAGAGTGGAGGAAGGAAAGGAAGATCAGAAGGGCAATGACACAAAGGGAAAGAATAACTCTAATAAGGGGAAAGCCCTGGATGATAACGGTAACACAACCAGCGAGACTTCGAAGCCAAGGACGGCCCAGGTCTGGCGGGTAGTCGAGCCCAACCCAAACAAGGCCCATCAGGATGATGGGTCGCAAAGCTCTGTACAGGAAGTGGATCACCGTACAGACAAGGGTAAGAAAGAACTAGCAAACACATTGAAACCCATTAATGGCCCAACCCATAAAACGAATGATGCCATGGATTCCTCCCCGGGCCTGCCTAGCATCTTCCCATCTCCGCCGCAATTGAAAGCAAATCCCCTCGAAAGTATCTCTGTTAGGAAACACTACAGCAAACGATCGATGGGCACCAAGTCTAATCCGACCAACAAGAAACCCGACCACCTCCAGGTTACGAAGAAGGATCAAGGATCGCCCTCAGCATATAGAAATGGGAAACGAGCTAACGAGAAGAAGAAAGCTCCAATTCCCCAATAGGTGGTGGAGGAATTCCTGGCCCAATCGCAGCATAAACCAACGAATGAAGGAGAGAAAGAGGGAAGCGGTGGCTGATGATCTAATGACCGAAACCCCTTCTATCTCGGTCGACGAGCAGGATCAGACATTGGCGATTATGGCGATGATGAATCTGTTGAAATTAAAGTTTAATTAAGATAAAAGTTAGAAAGGTCTAGAGAAGTAGGTAACATGTGTAGTGTAATGGTGTGTCAAGAAAAAAAAATCAGTGTGTGGAATGGTGTAGAATCAATTAGGTTGTGTGATTAAAAAAAAAGAAAAAAAAGGAACCACATATTGGAAGTAGGTTCCAACTGTCCAAGTTAATGAGCTGCAGATTTTTTGTTGTATGGAGCCTATAAATAGGCTTGTGCATAGCTGTGTAAAGTGCAGAGCCAACAAGAAAAGCAAAAGCAATAAAAGAAGCCTTCATTCCCAAAAACTCCTCTGCCAAAATCCTTGTCCATGTAATAGAAAGCCTTCCCCATTCAAGCTCATAAACGAGCTCATACCCATCAAAAGCCCACCATTAGTTTTTTCAATTACAAAGGAAATAATTTTTTTATTTCCAACAAAGTGGTATCAGAGCCCGACTTATTCTTAAGTATGCTCTGTGGTTGCAGCGTAGTCTGAACTTCCACATCAGAAAAGAATTTCTCGTGTTTTTGTTATCACGATTGTCCCATGGCCGAAAAATCCACTTTCCCCATTCAATTCCCCCACCTTACCAAAACCAATTATAAAAATTGGTGCATCCGTATGAGAGCCTTACTGGGATCCCAAGATGCTTGGGATATTGTTGAGAAAGGTTACGAGATTCCCGCGGAGGATTCTCAGTTATCTCCTGCTGAAAAGGAGGTATTGAGAAAAAATAGAAAGAGTGATCAAAAGGCACTCACTCTAATTCATCAATGTCTTGATGAATCGATGTTCGATCAAATAGCACATGCTACCACAGCAAAGGAAGCATGGGAAATTTTGCAAAAGGAAATGCAAGGCGTAGAACCAGTAAAGAAGGTTCGACTTCAGACACTCAGGGGAGATTTTGAATCCATTAAAATGAAGGAAGGTGAATCTGTTTCAGATTACACCGCCCGTGTGAAGTCTATCGCCAACAAACTGAAGCAGTATGGGGAGAAAATAGAAGAGACCAAAGTGGGGGAGAAAATTCTACGATCGCTATTACCAAAATTTGACTACGTGGTGGTGGCCATGGAGGAAGCAAAAGACGTGTCAAAGATGACAGTGGATGAAGTTATCGGCTCATTGCAAGCACGAGAGGAAAGGCTAAATAAAAGAAATGAAGAATCATCAGAACAAGTGTTAGCTACAAAAGCTACCACGGAGGAGAAAGAAGGCGGACGAGGAGGAGGTTACAACAGAGGTCGAGGCAGAGGCAACTACAGAGGCAGAGGAAGAGGAAGAGGCCGAGGAGCATATCAAAGCAGAGACGGAGGAAATTTCACCACGAACAATTATGAAATGTCCACCAAAGGCAGAGGTCGTGGTCGTGGACGTGGAAGAGGAAGTTGGAGATCAAATGAAGGTCGTGATAAATCCAACGTTCAGTGCCATAATTGCTCGAAGTACGGGCATTATGCATCACAATGTTGGAGTCCGCCTAAAGAAGTGGAGGAAACAGCAAACAACGTGCAAGAAGAAGTCAAAGGCACATTGATGTTGTCACATCAAGGAGATGAAAAACCGAGAGACAACATGTGGTATCTGGATAATGCAGCAAGCAACCACATGTGTGGAAAAAGAAACATGTTCGTGGATATGGATGAGTCAGTGAAAGGAAATGTCGTATTTGGAGATTCCTCAAAGGTTCCTATCAAAGGCAGAGGAACTATACTCATCCGGCTGAAGAATGGCTCACAACAATTTATCAGTGATGTGTACTATGTCCCAGACATGACTAGTAACATCCTGAGTTTGGGTCAATTGATGGAGAAGAATTATGAGGTCCACATGGTGAATCGTCAATTGGAGCTGCTAAATGAGAAGAGGCAGTTGTTGGCCAGAGTCCCAATGTCGAAAAACAGAATGTTCACACTGAACATTCAGACAGAAATGGCAAAGTGCTTGAAAGCGTGTGTGAAGGACAATACATGGCTATGGCATCTGAGGTATGGCCATCTAAATTTTGGAGGTCTAAAATTGCTCGGTCAGAAGAAGATGGTGCATGGTCTGCCAATGATCAATCATCCAGCGCAATTGTGTGAAGGATGCTTAGTTGGGAAGCAATTCGGGGCAAGTTTCCCGAAAGAGTCCCTGTCACGAGCTAAAGCACCACTTGAGCTCGTCCATGCAGATCTCTGTGGACCGATCACCCCAACATCGTTTGGCATGAACAAATACTTCCTATTGTTCATTGATGATTACAGTAGAAAGACATGGGTATTGATGACTCGGTATTTGCACATATTTTCCCCTTTGTTTCTTGATTGTTTGAGCTTGAATTATCGTGTATTTGGCCTATTTTATGCTAGGTTGTGTTCCTTTGTCACATTTCAGGTCCTAGCACATAAAGTGAAGCATAGGCGCAAGTTTCAAGTCAATCAGAGATCAATTGACGATTCGGGAGAAGAAACTCGGGTATGACCTGCAGAAGAATGGATTTCTACCTCACTTTATGGACAAATAATCATGCAAGCTTTTCATGAAAAGAAAGAGGACGAGACTACGAGCTTCTGGGATCAAACGGCGACTGATTCGGAGTCTGGACGAGGGAGAAACGAAGCATTAAACAGAGGCTGAGCAAGCCACACGGGCACAATCCACACGGCCGTGTGACCTGGCCATGTGGCCGTGTGGAAATCACCGAGCCTTCACACGGGCAGCTGGGAAAGCCACACGGCCGTGTAACCTGGCCGTGTGAGTCGGGAATTGTTGTTTAAAACCCGATTTTCAGCAAAAGGAAAGGGGGAGAGCTGGGTTTTGGATCCCAAACACCCAAGGGACGAACCCTAGAGAGAGAGCGACTTGGGAACATTCTTGGAGCTATTTTGGAGGATTTCTTCGCCATTGGAGCTCGAGAATCAAGCTTGGAGATGGAGATTGAAGATCTAGATCAGATTTCTGCAGTCTCTCTCTTCTCTATGGAGTAACTTCCCTTCACTTAGGTTTTGAGGAACCCTAGTTCCATGAGTTAGGATCTTTCTTGTATGAAGTTTTGGATGCTACATTGTTTGATTATAATCGATTGAGGCATAATTTATTGAGTCAATTGAATCTTGATCAAATTCTCTTGATTTCTGCTTTAACCTATGATAGATAGAATCTGATTAGGTTAAGAGAGCTTCCTTGATTGATAGTGGTGAATTGGTTGTGCGAGAGTCAATCAATTCACTGCTTTGTACTGGAATTCATTCCACTAGTGGAGATCTGTGTGAATCGCCTTAGCAGTCTATCCCGGTGAAGGCTAGTCGCCTGCCGGGTATTCTGTCTGAGAGGGCTTGGTCAGCTTAAGAGATTCCAAGCTAATTTAGGATCTTCCGCAGTTTAATCAGCAGTAGATCAACCAAAGGTAAATGCAACTTGGACCTAATTGAGGAGCTAGGGGGAATCATACCAAAGTGAGTTCCCAACTTGTAATTAGTAGAGTAGTTTAGTAAATCAATCCTTAATCTAGTTTGCTAGATAATGAACTGAAGCTGAGTAATAGTAACTCTAGAGACCCGCGGATTCGATATTTATTACTTGTGCCACTATACTGCAGTCCCTTTCATTGGTTACACTTGGCCATTGTTAGGTGTTGTGTTTTGGCGTGTCAAGTTTTTGGCGCCGTTGCCGAGGACTTTCTAGACTATTAGGAAAGGCAGAAGTTTGTTACTTTAGCGTTTTTTCTTTTCTTTTCTTTTCCACCCTTGATTTTCACTTGGGTGTTTTTGTTTTTGTTGGTGCAGATCTGAATCATGGATCCTCATGGCTTCTCCAACAATTGGGGGTATCCACCACCACCCGAGTGGCATTACCCCGAGACTCCCTGGAGCAATCAAGGAGGAGAAGACTATGGATTTGGGTTCCAGTACCAACCCCCTTTCTACGGAGAACAACCAGACCCCTGGGCATATCAAGAACAACCTCATTACCAAGAAGACTTTCTCCCACAACCAGAAGGGCCGTCGGAGCTGGAGTTACCCATGGCGGCCTTCACGGGCCACTCTGCAGAGCCATGCTACACTTCACTGGAAGATCCGAACAAACAATTAAGGCTTCTCGTGGAGTAGTTTGCTCGAGACACTGAGAGAGCCTGCTCCAAGATGGATCTTCAAATCAAAGCCCTTGCTGCTTCCGATCCCTCATTTCTCCATGATATGGAGGAGACTGTTCAGCGCTCAGCGAAGCAAACAGAGTGGGTGGAGCAAGTTTGCTCACATCTTGCTCAAGATCACCTTTCTGCTTCCAAACTAGAAGAGGAGGAGGAAGAAGAAGGCTCCAAGGACATTGTGGAGCACACTGAAGTTGTCATGGAGAGCTCCCGTGATGATCATGATCAGGAATGTCCTGTCGTAGCCGACCACACCTTCCCACATCCCAAACTGAGCTTTGAAGAGGCGAGCATGAGTGAGGAGATGCAAGAAGATCTCATGAAAGAAATTGCTTGGAAACTTGATCTCCAATCCGTGCTAGAAGAAGAAGAGCGAGAAAGGGTGCAGAAAGAAGTTGTGGAGGATGAAGAAAATGAAGCAGGAGGAGTTCTTGATCATTTCCCAGGGGTGATACCACATGTAGAAGAAAGGAAGGTTAAAGAAGAAATTGGCGTCCAGGCTGAGGACGAAGTTAAGGTGGAAGAGGCCTGTACCGGCCATGAGTTACATGTGATATCTCCACCAAACTTCGAGGAGCTGCTTGGCAAGGACCCATTTGCAGTGTCTCTTTGCCAGACCAAGGCCACATGGACATCGGTCCCTCTTGGTGGACGCAATGGTGGCCAATCGATGCTGTCTTATCTGGTTTGGGGCAATGAGACGAGAGAAGAGAAGAAGAGGTCTCGAGGGTGGAGACTTCATCTGCATCAAGTGCACGAGCTTCCATCACTAGTCATACCACATGCTCGTGACTTGCGACTCCACCTCATTGACGAGAACCTCAACTTCAAGGAGGTTCTAGCATGGACCGAAACTTAGGAGCCATCGTCCGGCTCACGACGTGAAAGATGCGCTTGT